TTCTGACAAAAAAAAACAATATTTGCTCTAGAAACTGGGAAGGAATGTATGTTTAAAATATTTCCATATGTCGAAAAAGGAATATTGCTAGATTTAGAAGTTTATTGTCTAATTTTGAAGAGAGAAATAAGAACGTGAACGAATAAGCTTTCGAGCAGCAAAAGCGCAGAAGAGCCCAATAATTGCAAGTAAAATTAGATTTCCAGCTCATAAGGGCTTGGGCAATATGCGTTCTTCAGAAAGGATAAAAACTCCCTCTTTTGTCTTAGGAAACTCTTTCTTTTCCAAAATAGCTGTTTTTGGCTCTGGAAAAAATTCTAGGAAACGCTGAACCGAAAATTCATTCGAACGCCTAACGAGTTTTTTCTTACCCGGTGAAATATGGCTTATTCACGCACCATTCGCCGGGTAGAGAATTGCCGACTCCGCGGAGATAAAAAAAAGTTCATCTACCCTTTCCTACCAAGAAAAAAAAGTTGAAAAAGGGCTCGACAGATTCTAATCTCACAGAAAGCTTCGAAAAAGAAATCTCTCGAAGAAGTACACCTATATATAATTATGCCTTATCAAAACAGCGATGTGACCTCTGTCACGACCTTTCACGATGTCATGACGTAATGCCAAAGGCGACAGAGTCAAGAATGAACAAGGTGTGAGGCGAAGTGACAGAACACTGCTAATAATTGATATTACATAACATCGGTGTCAATTCACACAATAGACTCGTACTGTAGGCAAATATGGGCTGGTGACGTAACCTGATGGTGACTCGGGGTGGAGAAGACGAGGAGCCATAGTTAGAAAACAAGAGTGTTTCTAAAAGTGCGAAAATAGCAAAGAAAAGTAGAAGATAATCCGCAGTATTGTTCTGCGCTGTTGAAAATAAAAGATATTGAGACTCGAGCGAGTCCGGAATGGTTGAAGCGAATTAGACCATTTAAATTGAAACATATTTGCTATAGATTCCACAAATAATGTCCAAATCCTGGCCAAACCACTCAGGAAGAAAATAGCTTCTC